TCTCTCATGAACTCTACTCAAAATTTGAACCAGCTGAACACTGATGAGAGTTAACTGGATATTACCAAGGGTAACAAAAACTCTCATGAACTCTACTCAAAATTTGAACCAGCTCAACACTGATGAGAGTTAACTGGATATTACCAAGCGGTCCAAGAGCAACAAAATTTCCCACGAACTCTATTCAAAATTTGAACCAGCTCAACACTAATGAGAGTTAACTGGATATTACCAAGCGCAACAAAAACTCTCATGAACTCTATTCAAAATTTAAACCAGCTGAACACTGATAACAGTTAACTGGATATTACCAAGCGTAACAAAAACTCTCATGAACTCTACTAAAAATTTGAAACAGCTGAACACTGACGAGATTTAACTGGATATTACCAAGCACAACAAAAACTAATGAGATTTAACTGGATATTACGAAGCGTAACAAAAACTCTCATGAACTCTACTCAAAATTTGAATCAGTTGAACACTAATGAGAGTTAACTGGATATTACCAAGCGCAGCAAAAACTCTCATGAACTCTACTAAAAATTTGAACCAGCTGAACACTGATGAGAGTAAACTGGATATTACCAAGCGCAGCAAAAACTCTCATGAACTCTACTAAAAATTTGAACCAGATGACCACTGATGAGATTTAACTGGATATTACCAAGCGCAACAAAAACTCTCATGAAGTCTACTCAAAATTTGAACCCGCTGAACACTGATGAAAGTAAACTGGATATTACCAAGCGTAACAAAAACTGTCATGAACTCTACTCAAAATTTGAACCAGCTCAACACTGATGAGAGTTAACGGGAAATTACCAAGCACAACAAAAACTCTCATCAACTCTACTCAAAATTTGAAGGAGTTGAACACTGATGAGAGTTAACTGGATATTACCAAGGGTAACAGGAACTCTCATGAACTCTAGTTAAAATTTGAAGGGTTTGAACACTAATGAGTGTTAACTGGATATTACCAAGCACAGCAAAAACACTCATGAATTCTACTCAAAATTTGAACCAGCTGAACACTGATTAGAGTTAACTGGATATTACGAAGCGTAACAAAAACTCTCATGAAGTCTACTCAAAATTTGAACCAGCTCAACACTAATGAGAGTTAACTGGATATTACCAAGCGTAACAAAAACTCTCATGAACTCTACACATAATTTGAACAAGCTGAACACTGTTTTTTTGTGTTTTTTTAAATTTTATTTTCCCATGTACATTACAATTATTAATACATTATTACAAATTAACTATTTGGGCTAGAGACCTACTAGAAACCTTTGCAGGCTTTTGTTTCTAGGCCACTAGTCATGTCCTATTTAGATTATTTTATTATTTACAGTAGTTTTTAAGATTATATTAAATGCAGAAGAAAAGTTTTTACAAGGTATATACAAGATATTTACAAATTTGAGGTATGAAGGGTAAATGCTGTAGAGTTCACAATATTAAGATAAAGAGATATACTAGTTAGATTATTATATGGTATTTTTTTGCACAATAACAATGTATGGACAGACATTGTCTGCATAAAGAAAGTGTGATTTCTGAATCTATGTATTTGTAACTGGATTTAGTATAAAGTGTTGCTTAATTAGATTCTTGAAGGTATTCTAGAAATTTATGTTTTTCAGATTTGTTTCTAATTTCTTCCACACATCAACTCCTTTATTTGAAAGAGTGTGTTTTACATAATTTGTTCTCTTATAACATTTAAAAAGTTTTGATGCGTTTCTCGTATTATGTAGATGAATTTGGTTGTTTGTAACGAAGTAGTTAGTAAAATATTCTGGTAAATTTTTAAGATGATGATATCGAAACATAAATAAAGCAGTTAAATAAATGTTGATTTTAAAAATATCAAGTATATGTAATTCTTTGAATATAGCCTCAGTGTGTTCCAAGTACGACTTAAATCTCATTAGACGTACAATTTTTTTCTGGATATTCATTATTTTATTAATTCAGGTTTTGTATGTGCTACCCCAAATTAAATTGCCATAAATCAGATATGGATAGACTAATGCATAATAAATTAGTTTGATAGCATTTCGATTTAAGAAATGTCTAATTTTAGCTATTATTCCGGATGCTTTCAAGAGTTTTTTGAAACATTAGTTATATGATCATTCCATGTCAGACATTCATCAATGATGATACCAAGAAATGTTGTACTTTTAACTTGTTCTACATTTACATCATTCATAATAATTTGAATTTCATGTTTTGGTTTTTTGTTAGTAGATCTAAATAAAATGAATTTTGTCTTTTGGATATTTAGAGATAATTTATTGACGTTTAACCATTCTGTAACTTTGTTAATTTCAGTTTGTATGATTACATTAAGCGATTTAAGACAGCGGTTGCTATAAAATATATTAGTGTCGTCAGCAAATAATATGAATGAAAGTAATTTGCTGCACTGTTCAATATCATTTATGTAAAGCAAAAATAGAATTGGTCCAAGAATTGATCCCTGTGGAACCCCACTTCTAATCACCATTTCATTTGACCTAACTTGATCATATTTCACTATTTGTTTTCTATTTTCCAAATAATCTTTAAACCATAGTTGTGTTATTCCCCGTATACCATAGTGTTCCAGTTTTTGAATCAGAATCTTGTGATTAATGGTGTCAAAGGCCTTTGACAAGTCAAGAAAGATTTCTATAGTGTATTCACCTTTATCGATTGCTTTACTAACTTTGTCAACAAGTTCAATGACTGCATGCTCGGTGGATCTATTTTCTCTAAAACCATACTGACTATGTGTTAATAATTTATTTTTTTCAATGAACTTAATTAATCTCTTATACATTAGTTTTTCTAGTAATTTAGAAACACAAGAGAGTACAGTAATTGGTCGATAATTTTTAAATTCAATTTTTGAATTGTTTTGTAAATTGGGGTAACTTGAGCTATTTTTAGGCCATTAGGAATAGTTCCACTAAGGAAAGTCAAGTTGAATATGTGTGACAGGGGTTCAGAAATTTCCTTAGCAATTGTCTTAATAACTTGTGAACTTATACCATCATAGCCTGGACTTTTTTTAGAATTTAAGTTTTGTATTTCAATTTCGATTTCATATTTGGTTACTGGCTCAATAAAAAAATTATTCTTATTCTTATTAGTCAGATATTTGTCAAAGGTTATTTCACTGTCTGGAAGTTTTTTTGCTAGACCTGGTCCAATATTTACAAAATACTCGTTGAATTTATTTGCTATTTTGTACGGATCATCAATGATTTCATCTGAAGAGTCTCCGTTGAATTCCTTTGGTAAAATTCTATTGTTTCTATGTTTATTCATAATTTCATTAATTGTTTTCCATAAGCATTTTGTGTTATGCTTGTATTTTATTAGTAGTTCTTCATAATATTTCTTTTTTGCTATTTTTATTACATGATTCAATTTATTTTTATATTTTTTGTATATAATCTCATTTTTTATTAAAGGGCAATTTAGAAATTTCTTATAAAGTTTGTTCTTTTTTTGAACTGATTTTGCAATGCATTTTGTCATCCATGGACTTTTACTTTTGTCAAATTTCCTTTTTGATACTTTTTTTGTTAATGGGAATTTTTTTCATAGGCTGTAGAGAATTTGTTGAAGAATTCGTTATAAGACTCAGTAGTATTACTGTTGGAAATTACATCCTCCCATGATGTAGTTTTAATTGAATTACCAAATGATTTAATATTGGAATCATTGATGATCCTTTTATTAATAATTTCCATTTCTGGCTTAGTCTTATGTTGTTGATCTTTAAATTCGCGTATATGAAATACTGGTAAGTGATCAGAGATGTCACAAAAAAGTATCCCATTTGTGCTCGATTCTATAGTTTCCATATCATTAGTAAAAATATTGTCTATTAGTGTAGCTGTATGGTGAGTTATTCGCGTTGGTCTCAGTATAAGAGGCATATACGATGATGTGAACAGTTGTTCAAGAAACCTATTAGTATAATCACAAGACTCTGATTTTAATAGATCAATATTGAAATCTCCCATAAGGTAGCATATTTTATTTTCTTTGTCTATTTTCCCTAGAATGTTATTCACATTATTTTCAAACAAATCAATTTTATTATTTGGTGGTCTGTATATTAGACCGACTATTATATTTTTCCCAACAGCTGTTATTATCTCAATAAAAACGGATTCAATTACATTTTCAATATTTGTGTTTAAATCCGTGCGTAGTTTATATTTAATTTGGTTTGTGATATAAATTCCTACACCTCCTCCAATTTTATTAGATCTGTTTACATTTACAAAATCATAATTATCTAGTTTGAAGAGGTCGTCGTTATTATCATTTAGCCACGTTTCGGTTAAACCTATTATCTGAAACTGGTTATTTAATGAATTCAATAGGTGTTTTAATGAGTCGAATTTATTAAGTATACTTCTAATATTTAGGTTAATCATCGAAAAACTATTCGTATTATTTAGATTTGCTTTATTTGTTTGTTTATGGAGATCACCAGGAGTATAATATTCACAGTTTATTTTAATCGATTGATCGAGATTTGCGTTATTTTCGGACATCGCAATGTTGTTATTCGTGTCGAAAGGGTTGAATTTCAGATGTCTTAGTCTATCCATATCGTCTTCACTGATATTATTTCCGTTTATAGTAAATTCATATTCTAATTCATCAAGTGTTTGAAATGGTAAAGTATCAGCTAAACAATGCTGACATAGATCAATGGTAGGTATTATGTTACTATCGTTTAAGTAGAGTGACTTTGTGCATGCTGGCACAGCGTGAAACAAATTATTGCATCCTGAACATTCAGTAAATTTTTGCATTTTTTGGATAGATTTGGAGCAAGAAGAACATTTCTTCTTGTGCTTAGTGCTAACAGTACTCATTGGAAGATGTTAATGCAATATTTGGAATAAGTAATAAACTATATATAATAACCTTTTGTGGTTGTTATTATAATACGATTTGTCTATCATGTTTCAAGTAATTCAAGACTTGTTATTGAAGACCTGACCTTCTACTATTAATTTGTCTCTAACAAGTTTAGCCCTTTTACCTTCGGCTTTAGCTTTTTTTAATTCAGGATACAATGCTTTCCTCACGCTCTCTATTTCTTCAGGGAACTGCTCAGATACCCCGATGTTTGTTCCCTTTAGCTTTTTCGCGTTAAGTCGCACGTGCTCTCGGTCTTGGTGGTAATTAAATTTAACCACGATCGGTCGTGGTTTTCGGTTTCCTTCTCTTTTCTTGCCAATTCTATGGGACCGGTCGATCTTTATTACCTCCTTTGCGTCCTTTATTTGAAACTTCGTTTCCAGTAAGTTGTGGATAATCTCCGTCGTGATTTCTTTGTCTTGTTCCGGTATGTTGAAAAACAGCAGATTGTCTCGCATTGATCTCGCTTGTATATCTACTATTTTATCGCGTAATGTCGCGTTGTCTTTTTCAAGTTTCTCCAGTTTGGTTCTTGCTTGTTCTTGGTTTGCTCTTGTGGTTTCATTTTCTCTTTTTAGATCTGCTATTTCGGCGTGCGCGTATTCTAATGAATGCTTTATTTCTTTCATGTCGGCCTCTATGCCGTCAAGCTTCTCTAGTTTCCCCATCATGATCGTAAACATTTGTTGTATTTCTCGCATATCTATCTCCTTCTCTTCCTCTTTTTCCTCCATTCTTCTGTCTGGTGTGTTAGGTTTTTGAATTTTGCTTTTTACTGGTTTACTAGGCGTACATAGGTGCGTTTTATTCAAATTTTGCGCAGAGCGCTTTGTGGCTTGTTGTTTGTCGCCCATACTGTAATCTGATCTGATAACATTTAACGATTGAGACCAGAATTGAGACTTAACGTCAGATAAACTACCTGGAATATATAAAGAAACGTCGACATTTTCTCTCTCTTTTTCCAACTTACTGAAATCACATTATTCCCTCTACTAATACAGGATGTGTCAAAAAAACGTACACCCTTTCAAATTCGTTGCTCTGCAGTAAGCTGGCCCATTTTATTATTTCTTTGTGATCTGTGAGTCGTCTCATTGAGACTCCCTTTGCTTAAGAAATTATAGCCATAGCTATGCCGTATTTCGCGCCTGTTTTTAATTGCGCGGTTTTTACAAATGCTAGTACCCATGCTTTTTCCGCGCAAAGAACGATTGGCGATCATATGGAAACCGCTTACACATTAAAAATGGATTGACAGTTTTTTAAGTGGAAACAACTGTTTTATGACGATTGGCGATTCGACGACCAACCGTATTGTAGCGAAGCGTATTTCTTTGTTTCCTGAGCACTAGAGTGGAACTAATAACTTCGACACAAAAGAAAATGCTACGATACGTTACGATCGAAGTGGAAAACTGGCTTTAGAAAACGAAACGAGATGCTTAATATTATGTCTAAATAGTGGTATAAGAAGGGCGCCGCGGGATTTGTATACGTAATCATGCGATGGCGAGTACAATTAGAGATTAATAGTACGAGTGATGTTTGGAAATTTTGGCAAAATTGGACGAGCTGTCGGGGCAAGTCCAATTTGGCAAATTTCCAAGCATCACGAGTATTAGCATGTCAACATCTCAATGTCAACCATCATACTCTCTCACCAAAGGCAAAGCCAAGTCCTGCCAGTCTTTCAACCAAAATTTGGTGCTTTTGTTCGTATTTTCATTTAATTCTTTTGTTAAAGCAAAATATGGTGCTTTTGTTCGTATGTTCATCTAATTCCTCTAGGACAATTTCATTTCACATTTGTGTTTAAAATTCCTTTCCACCATTTTGTTTGTTTTGAGAAAATCATTAATTGTACTGCAGTACAATTAATGAAATAATTGTACGCACTCCTCTCAATATACAGCTATTTAGTCGCTGGGCAGAGCCCGCAGCGACTCTAGGTTTCGGCACGCATTTGTGTCGGATCTTGGATCGTTAGCCACAAAATGACAATTACGTCATTAATAAAAAATAAAAATTACGTCATTACTATTCGTCGCTGAATTCAAGATGGCCGCTTACTACGAGCGAATGGTATCATCGATTTTGTACATATTTTTTTATTTTTCCGATGAACCTTAATAGTTTTCCGATGAAACAGACTTTATAAAGCGAAAGTCATTTTATGTGAGTAAACTTGGAAGGCTACAAGCTTGAAATAGAGGACAAAAGTTCACAATTTTCAATTTTACAAAGTTGGAACGGGCCGCAACCTTTGTAAATCGCAACAATAATATTCGCAAACTGCTGTTTATTTGGGTGCTTTTTTTATGGCTGTTGATGCAAATAATCCTGTTACGGATAGGTGGTCAAAAGAACATGGTGTAGCCTAACAAGACCGAAATACAACCACAGTGATCACCATTCATCACTACTTGTGTGAAATTTAAACTTTGCCGCTAGGTGTCAGGCTTTTAAATCTGTAATATTTCAGTCATTTTATGATCAATGTATTGTGTTTCTAACGCCGAACGGGAAAATGTTGGAGCCACAGTAATAGACTCTTTCAAGGTCAAGATGCCATAATGAAACACAAAGTGTAAGGGCTGCAAACACAATGGAAATTCCTACTAGTAAATTTGCAAGCTTGTATAAACACAATGGTGAGATCAATGTATTGAAATTAAGTAGGGGGGCAATGCAACTCAATGGGTTATTAAAAGTAACTAGCGTGTCAAGCTCTATGCTTGAAATAAAGCCTGCTACTGAGGTCAGTAAAAAGGATTGATGCACATGATTTGTACGCAAAATTCCCATTGGTCAGAAATAAATAGCTTTGTTTTTAAGGTAATGCCAAATTGGTGTTTACGTAATGATATTCCGTACTTGTAATTGTACTTTAACTACTTTTGGCCATGTTAATGACTGCCTTTGCTGCAGTCAATAACAGTTATTATTATTATTTAATATGTAATTCCTGGCCATTTGATGAAAATTGGAATATTTAGTTTTGAGATATTGGTGGAAAAGTTGGCCATTATTGTCATATTTTAAATTAGCTTTGATAATCTAATGTATCAATTAATTCCAGCAGTTCCCACCCCTGGGCCTTTGCAGCTTTTCCTAATCACGGGGGTGGGGCTATTGCCGATATTTTTTAGCCCGGGGGTGAGGATTTTGACATTTTCCATCATGGAGGATTTGGTAGATTTGCTGGAAAACTGATATTTAATTTGATTGCAAATGGCTTGTGGACATAGCCATTTTCTTCCCAGAAATGGCTAATACCTCGGGGGGATGGGCACTGCTGGAATTGACTGATACGTAATTAACAATCGCCATTTTGATTGGTTGTTATTTTTGTGCATCCCAATCACTGTCCACTTTTTATTGACTTCAGTAACAGGCTTACCCTGCCAGCAAAGTCCTCTTGTATTTCTTCTCAGCACGAGAGAGACTCTGCAGAACTTGTGTATATTCTTTGTGGAGCCGACAATCCAAAAACGTGCCTAATTATGAGTAATTTCAGGTTTGATACCAGTTTTATAACCGGTTTTGATCTGAACCGGAAACTACTTATTAAATCTTCTTCTGGGAAATAGGCAGTTGCTTAGCAACCTTCGCGCATGCTCAAATGAATTTATACACAAGTTCTGCAGAATCTCTCTCGCTTCTCTGTGCCGTGCTGAGAAGAAATACAAGAGGACTTTGCTCACAAGGTATAACAGGCTCTATTTCAAGCATCGAGCCTGACACGCAAGCTACCTTCAAAGAGCCTATTTGGCAACTTCTGTTGTAGTTACCTAGCCTGGGGCAAAAGTAATAAATTATGAATTGTTATAAATGTTCTGTGAAGTGCACATTTTTTCCTGCAGTTAGGGACCAGTCCTTATTTATGGAAGAGGGAGGAGGGGGGGGGGCAAAAGGTGGAGCCATGACCCCATGAGTATAAATAATTTACTAGAAGGGGGGGGGCATTAAATTTTTTGAGAAAACCAGTTGAAGGGTCAAAATGTGGAGTTGCAATAAATTTGTTTAATTAAGCCTGGTTTCCAGTGTCCTCGAAGTTGGCCTAAGCCAGATGAATCCAATAAATGATATTAACCTTGTACCCAGGGCTTCTGCGCTTATACACTGCTCTCAGAAGAGAGAGAGCAATAAGCGCAGAAGCCCTGCGCAGAAGACCTTATTTTAATAGCCCCAGCGACTAAACGCTCAACAGAGCGTCTTGTTCAATTAAGGTTGTCCACGAGCAAAGCGGAAAAGTCGAATACGAGCGCGAAAGGCTGCTGGGAACCGCTTTGAAAATTCATTAATTTGTTAGCGATTCCCAGCAGCCTTTCGCGCTCGTACCGACTTTTCCGCTTTGCTCGTGGACAACCTTAATTGAAATAGCTGTATATAATTCGTTCTAGCGCCGCTCCATCTTCATTAGCAACAAATCGTAGGCAGTGGACAACTCGAAAGCATTGTGCCGGCTGGTGGCTTAGTCGCTATATTAGCCCAAATTGGACTTTTTAAGTTAAAAATCTTGTATTTTGTAGGATTGAAGCTATTAACCGTGAGCTATTGTATGCGGGATGGCAATGGGAATGAGATCATACTATACTCACTTTATGTAGATCATATACTATACTCACTTCAATATGCTCAACAAAATGCATAAATAGTTTGCATAACTCTACAGTCTTCATCCGGGAAACCTAATTGATGTCGCATGGTTTTCGTCTTCGAGTATTTGATGTTTCTCGCTCGATGGTCGCACCACAGTGATTGATTCGTGTTTGTTGGATACTTACTTAAATTAAATAAGTGGGGATACCGCTGAGAATACTTGGCTATTATAACTGCCTCGGTTCTCAAGTAATTAGCTATACCTAACTCTAACTTGACAGCAGGTCTTTTCGCAACAGGTCTTTCGTTTTTTTACGAAGTGTATACGATGCAATCACATACCTAAATCTTCCATCGGCTGTTCTTCAGGCTGATTGATTGTCTCTCTCCGTCTTTCTTCGTCCTTACCCAACTTATTGTCGTGCTGATTTAGTTCACCAAACTTTATTTCGGCGTCGTTTCCGTTCCTTTCAAGGATATCTGGGGGAATTAATTGACCAGCAGCTTCACCGGTCAACAGTTCGTTAAATTCTTCCATGCAAGTATACTGATAATACTATACCCAAGTACACACTAAATGAATTTAAGATTTTCGTGATATAAAGCATGACACATGCAATAAATGTCCAGTGACAAAGTGAAGCACAGGAATAGTAGTGATAAGAGAGTTTAAGTTCGACTTCCAATACCAATACCGATACTGATATTTTCACTTCCGTTCTCATTTTGGTACCAGGAATTTTAAAGCGTTAAGTTATCACGATAGAGAAAGTATAGAACACATTAATCGTCACCGAAAATGTGCGGTATACTAATTTAAACGGCAGCTGAGCTAAAATTCCGACTAAAACATGACTCAGGCGATGCTAATAAACAAATAGTTTACATGTTTATCGTAAAAATTATGAAATATCCGATTTATATGAGTTTATCTTACAATTCCCCCGACTTCCAATACAAAGCCGACTTCGGTAGTGGTGACTTCCAATACACTTGCCCTCGTGCTTCTTGCGAGCAGAGAGCATGCGCATGACATGTTGTTAGTATCGGTATTGGTACCGGAAGTCGAACTTAAACTCTCTCTATATATACATGCATCCGGCCCGCTTTGTACGGTTGGATAGATTCACAAAAATATCTAAATACCATACTGTCAAGATCAATAGTAAATATAATAATAGATATAACGGCGAATTAATGTAATAATAATAATAATATATTGGTCTATTATCACATCGCATGCACCATGGCGGTGAATTGCAATGGTTTACAACTAAAAATCTTTATTAAAATACTTATAAAAGTTACGAATATGTTAAATTAAAATTAATTACATTATTTACATATAATATGAATATAACAGGAACGAACTTTCATAAATAGGCAAACCTGACTAACACTCTTCTTCACTTCATACTCTGAATTAGATGACCGCCGCTGAGGCCTGAGGACGTAAAAATCGTCAGTCACTACCACTAAATGTACGTTTACACGCAGCGATTTGTCATGTACGATTCGTATTCTAGCGTATACATGTAATCGAATAAGTACGTGTAAAGTGGTTGCGTTTCAAATTTCGCCATAAACTAATTAATGGGCAGGAATTGTGGTGTCAATATAGTAATTTTCATACTCCAGGGGCCTTGTACAAAGGTGGATTTGTGCTAACCCTCGGTTAAAATTTAACCCACTGTATTGGTTTGTGTATTTCTGCATGCACGCGTCTGTTTATTTCAAAACGTGAGAGAAGTGAATTCCTATTGATCCAGACAAGATTTGTGAAAACAGTTCCAAATTTATAGATAAGCCGTCAGTTAATTTAACCTAGCCCTACTGGGTATAGCTAATCGGCTTTCGAACAACCGGCCCCAGAATACGAATCGTAGACCTACACAATAAATCGCAGCGTGTAAACGTACTGACACAACTGAACAGTCTTCCACAAACATCTGCTGGACTCCTAGATTCAAGCCATTACAATATAACGTGACATTTCACCACTATTAAGACCACACGGCTAACCAAGCCCGGCGATCAAACATTTGCTGATACTCCTATATATATTCTACATAGACTTAAACCATTTACGTTTACTGCTAATATTGATCATGAAACATATATACGGTGAATAATATTTCATGCTCCTACAGTTCATACCTTATTAAGCATTGACGAAATGAATTCCGAATTGATCAAGTGAAATGAAATGAGCGCTAGCTATATCAATGAACATAAAACTGAAGCAGTCCAGACTAATATGTATTTCGATTCGTATGAAAGCTCATTCGGAGGATTTATGCAAATGTAGCTATGCTCATCACGATACGCTTCAATGCTTGTTTTCGATTCGGAGTTCAGTGCATGTTCACTGGTTTCTTCAGAATAGATAATAGACCTTTCTTATAATGATGTCAAACGCGGAAAAAACACTTAATGCGATGTCCCAAGGGCAAGGGACAATTTTTAGCGACAATTCGCAATGCAAATGATGTTTTTATTAAATTTATTGGCTCACCAACGACTTGCATTGTTCTATAGGTCATCGTATAAATTGGTTTTCCGCGTTTGATGTCATCAGTATACGAAAAGTCTATTGTATTAATTTCAACACTTTTTCGAAAATTTTCCATTAAAGACAAAAATTGCACATGTTGATTCTTCATTATTTTTTGCTTCTTTAATCTTGTCTATGTTTCAAAACATACGCAAGAGTATAAAGTCGTTTAAGCCTTTTTCACATATGAACAACTTTATTTATTTATTTAAAGAGGGTAAAAACACATGACAGCAATATAACTGAAAAACCTGTGGCCCTCATATACAATACATACAAAGTTATTAATTCTACTTTAAAACGTCTAAAAGCTATTTAGAGTAAATATGTAAAAGATCTTAGGATTATAAATTTATATATACAAATTATATACAGTACAACTTGCTGATCACAATAATAATTCAAAGCGATCGATGCCCTTATAAGATTCTAAGAAGTATTTTTTAAGGGCAAACTTAAAGGAATTAACGCTATAGGTTTCGTCTTAAGAGCGACTGTCCGTAAAAATCGAGCAAAATTTGAATTCTGCGGCGATACACGACAAATAGATTTCGTTCATATTTTGCTCAAATTAAGGTAATACCTAGTTATAAATGGTGTTTGGGTTAGATTTTCAATATTTGGTCGATAAACGTACAAATATCAGAAATCAAGAATTTGTCTCCAGGAGGCTATAATTAGCCGCAGACAAAGCCGCTGCCATGGTCAGTTTCATCACTTCGCGACGGATTCAAAACTGACCGTAGATAGCTTTGATGGTATAATGACTATAATTCAAGTATTAAAGAACAATTTTATCAATATTGAATGGTCCAGGAGGCTTTAACTGGCCTGACAGACGTTGTTGAAATTGGCTATTTTTAGTCAAATTTGAGAATTGCATTTTGTCACTGGATTTGAAGGGGAAATTTACTATGTGCGATAATCGTGAATTTGTTTATATTTCATCCACGGAATGGTATGGCATGAGTACATGTTATATATAAAAACTAGCTTGGGTTATTGCCTCGGAGCCTCACGCGAGACTTTTAAAAAAGCTCATTTTGGTGATTTCCAGTGGAATGTAACACAATTAAATCATTAGGCCCATACGTCTTAACCTGAGTATCAGGCCCTCGGTATTGAAGAGAGCCTGACACAATTCGCCTCTACGGGCTTTCCACCCCCAGAATATCAGCCAATTAAAATTATTTCCGGTTGTAGCATATTTCCGGTTGTCCGCTACAGGTATGTAAATACGTAAATTTCGTTATTTGCAGTTTTGTATAAATTTGAATAAATACGGAGAAAAGTCGGTATGTTTTTGTCGAAATATCCACATGATGGAATTCTAAGCGTAAACTATGCCTCATTCGGGGAACCATAGCTCGGCTTTTTCCAGGAGTCTAAAGAGACAACAATCGGCGCTCTGAATAGAGGGTCCTGAAGAGGGGTCCCAATCCCATTTCCCACCTGAAATTTTGGCAAAATCCCAGTCCCAGTTGGATTTTTATTAGAAATCCCAGTCCGAGTTATTGAAATCCCAGTCAATAAAAAACCCTTTATTTATGGGTAGAATAAACAGTTTTAAGACCTTTTAAGCCACCGTACGCGTGTGTGCAAGTGGGGGACACTTTATGAAATACTGGGGGAGGGCTTTGTGCCGAAGGCACGGAAAATTTTAAAATTTGAATCCCGGAAATGGCATTTGCAGCATTCTGAGACACACATAATCAGAAAACCCAGAATTCCGGGCGCCAGAGTATGCCTGTTCGCAGGTAGTACTGTGAATAATATAGTTAACAACAAAAATCATGACCAAAGACACCAAAAACGGATCAAAATTGTATTTTAAAGTACTTAAAACGTGGAAAAATTGGGAATCGACTCGCATTACCTCAATCCCATTCCCATTTATGAGGACTTCATTTCCCATTCCCAGTGGCCAAATCCCAGTCCCAGCAACCCAAATCCCATTTTCCCAGTCTAAAACTAGATCAATCCCAGTTCCCATTTTACCCCTTCAGGGCCCTCTGAATAGGATTTCTTCTTCCTCGGTCCTCGTGTCATGTTAATTAATAGTTTATTCGAGACAGCTATTCGCTTCAACTGCGTCTAACACAGCGGCTATTGTCTTCAATTTCTGCCTGATGTTTGGCATATTAGTTCGAGCGAGCTGACTACTATATCCTTGCAGGTCTTGGAAAACAGCTCGGCAATAAACTGAGAAATAAGGCTTCAGCTTTTTGGAACTATAAAATATTTGAAAATTTCCGGCATCCACATATTTTCGTTCTACGGCTACTATTACGGCGAGATATTTAGACAAGCTTTCCATAGGCGTACCGGGCGGGGGGGCGGGGGGGGGGCGGTAGCCCCCCCCAGTTTTTTGGGCAGTCGGGCAATATTCGATCAACAGTCGGGCAATTTTGGTTTGCAAAAAAAAAAATGGGACAAATTCTGTCAATTTTGTCTAAAATTAAGTCAATTTTTTGGCAAATTTTGCGATTTTTCGAAAATTTGTGTTATGTTCCGAAAAATATTGGTTGTCCGGAAAAATTTTTTGACCCCTAAAATGGCATACTGGCCGAAATTTTTTTGGCGACGGGGGGGGGAAGGTCGCCAAAATAATTTTTCCGGAAAAAATTTTTTGATACTAGTCGGGCAGAATTCGAAAAGTCGGGCAATTTTCTTTCCGCCCCCCTAATTTTTTCCTTCCGGTACGCCCATGACGCTTTCTACTATGACTATGTAGTTTTAGTTTTATACCGAGTAAAATATTGCTGCAAAAGTGTTTTCAACGTCTTTTCGCACTTATTTTGTCATTTTTAGGCTTAATTAATTGAAAATAAATTTCAGAAATAAAGCACTTTAATTATTCCAGTATATTGAGAAAATTACAAATTCTATTTTTGGTGTTTACATACGCCGGTCATATATTTCCGGTTTGAATCACATGATGCGTTTTATCGTCTCTTAGCCAATCAGCATAACATCCAGATTCT